TTTTATTGCGATCAATTATTTCGCTTTCCTGCCTAATAACAATAACAACAGTAATAACTATATCTTAAACGGTCAAAGTATTCTTTAATGGTAACACAAATTAAAGTTTATTGGTCAATTTAACGCTCGGCAAAGTAAAAACAGTCAATCGACCAACTTTTAAAGAAGATTTTACAAAAACCACAAGGACGACAACTGGATTTTTATTTATAGATTAATCGGATGAATCTCAAAGATCATTTTCGTATTAGAAAGTGATGCCCTCAGGAAAAATGTTTTATATCAGAAAAATAAACGAGGGACGAACGCTCTAGGAAAATCGGGTTTCGAGACTTTTTGATCAAAAAAAAATTTTTTACACAATATTAAACTATAACATCGTAATTGGTGAAAAAATTAGATGCTGTTTACTTGGTACAAAAATAAATTCTTGAGGCAACAAAAATTTTCTTTGAATCGAATTTAAAAATGATCTACAAACTCAAATAATTTAATAAATTTAATAGTCACGGAGACCCCATAAAATGTTACTAATTCATAATTTTTATTATAATTTTAACCTTTATATAAATTTTAAATTTTAAAAGGAAAATGGATACATGCCTTATTATTATTAATATCAATATTACACGGAAATCGTATATATCCGCAATCTCCAAATCGATTTCTAAATAAGGATAACATGCACCCAACCCACCAATAAAATTGGATATTCTCATGATGCTGCGCAAAATTGCGGAAAAATACGATTATAATCGTTTTCACAAAAAAAAATTTTTTTTATATATTACTACGAATCGATCATTCAAAATTTATTTTATTGCAAATTATTTTGCTCGCGACCAATAATAATGGTTATAATAACAATAATAGCAATAATTATAATAATTGGATTTTTATTTTTATAAATATCAATACATACAAATTAAAATACAAATCAATAAATACAAATATTAAATATACATGTTTCAAATTTTATTTTAATATTAAAAAATTATAATGTGTTCTCGGGATTATGAAAATATTATAAAAACTTACCAAAGGGTGGCCACCCGCCAGCTAACAATGACAATTCTTTTCGATAAACTGGAAGAATTGCCAAGAAACCAGTAAAAAGAAAGAAAACGATAGTTGAACAAAACTTGGAACAAGAAAGGGAAAATTTAAAATTTATAAAAATTAATGTTAACCGGCGATCAAATCCGGTGATCAAAAAGATCAGAAGTGGGGATTAAAAGGAATTCAAAAGGGTATCGGCCCACAGTTCTACTCTTACTGAGAGAAAAGAGAACTGACAAGAGAAAAGCAGGATCGAAGAACTACAAAAAAAATTTTTTTATAAAAGAAACGATGAAAAATGTGAACGATATAAAAATATAATAATAAAAAACAATACAAAAAAAACTTAACTAATTTCCAAGAAAGCCTTTCGACTAAAGAAATAAGCAAGTACATAAAATTATTATTAATAAAATAA